CACACACACACACACACACACACACACACACACACACACACACACACACACACACACAAATAAATAAAAATCATAACTTCCTGTTCATGGTGCAAATAAAAAGTCAGATGCATTTCATAGAAATAAAAAGGATTTCAGATATTAGGATGCTGATTAATGGAACGTATATTGGTTCATTTATATTGTTGGTGTCTTTGCAGAAAAAAATAGCACTTCCAAAAAAAAGGTTTTTCTGTTTTGAAATATTTTTAACTTTACTTAAGTTATGCTGTAGTAACCTATTTGTTTCCATAAAAACCAGAGGCTGATGACTTGTCTAAAATAGAAATTAGAAGGTCCCTCAAAAGGGATAAAGTTACTTTTTTTTCTGAGCCAGAGTTCACATTGGATCTCTAAATTAACTAAAAAAAAATCAAAATAAACACAATGCTWTTGCTGAGACCAAAATTATCTAAGTGAGAAATTTTCAGAGAACAACCCAGCATCCACATAATCTTCCCCCTACTCTGAATTTAAATTCCTAAACTTTTGCTTTCTGCTATTGCTTTTCACTTTACTATCYCTGCAGGTTTTTATCATAAGTTATAGATTTCCCCTGTGGTTCCTCTCAGCAAGGGATTTCATGTTGTGCAGATTACAGTATAGAGATATCCCTGGGTTATGCTGATGTAAAAAATAACCAGAAGCAGGCTAAGTAAATAACAATTTCAAAGTGTAATTCTTTTTTTTCAGCAACTTTTTGTGCATATGAAACTAAGGAAACAAAGAGAACCTGGAGAGTTAAAGGTTTATGAGGTTTTCTTTTTTACAGCAATTGCTGCTTATTGAATTCCAAAAAAAACTATTTGAGTAGCTTCAACAGCAAGCTAAAGTAATAATGTAAATCAAGCAGAAACAAAACTCTATTTCATGGTTCACATTTATTAGTGAAAAACCAAATATGTGTTTACACTAAGTTGCCATAAAAACCTATTGTTGCCTTTGCTAAATTGTTCTTCAATGAGCAACTAAAAAAGTAATCTTCTCTGCAAATGAAGAGATAAAACTGGCTTCTAATGACAAGTGAAGCAATCAGTGTGATGTGAGGTTATTGTCGACTGAAGCATTCGGCGAGGCACTGCTGCATTTCACATGACATCAAATGAGATTAGTCACTCTTTCAGATCCTAAATAATCTCTAATCAGGTGTGGAAGACTTATCAGTTCAATAAAGCACAGCTGGTGCTGGCAGGTGGATGAGACCGTCATAATGTAGCTTCTTTTTGGAGGATTTCAGCCTTATTGGAGTCATAAAAATTGGCAATTTCAGCCTCTGAGTGAGGCAGAGATCTGAGTCGATGTGTTTTAGACTCTACACACAAACTTGTTTTTGTCTGTCTAAATTATACCTTGATTTTATTTATTTATTTTTTTCATGATGAATAATTTTTAAATGAACTTTTTGGATAGGAGTTGTTGTAAAACTTCTGTTTTGTTAGTTGCATTCATGTGTTCAAGTTAGATTTGTGAGAAAACAGCATCTTTGTTCTTGAATGCATCCAAAAACAGCAGCAGCACCTGCATATGGAGACAAAAAGTCCTGGAGCTGGATCGTTTTGGTCTTAACGGTAATAATAAACAAGATTTTCTTTTTCTTTTTAAATGAGCCAAAACCTTCTTTTTATTACACCCAAACAAAAACWAGCCTATACATTAACAATACCTCGATGTGTAGCACGGTATAGTCTCAGTTTCTGTTTTTTATTCTGATAAAGAAAAGTCATAAAATAATAACCTCACCTGATGATGACATACATGACAAGGCAGTTGCCCAGCAAGCCCACCACAAACACCACGGAGTACACGGCGGTGATGATYGGGATGATGGGGGACATGCCCTCCTGCGCCCAGCCATCTTCATCATCGTGGCTCACGTTGCGGCTGTCAGAGTCTCCGGATACCCAAACWGTAGAATTGACCAGGCAGTCCTCCAGCAGCGCGGACAGGCACTTATTGTCTTCTTTAAAAATTTCTACTGGTGCGCTCTCCATGTCGACACCTGGGTTTTGTTTTTTGTTTTTCTCTTTAGACTGAAAAGATGGAAAAGGACCAAGTGGATGAGGCGCAAACTGTGCCACAAATGCGTAAAGTAGCTCCAAGACTTCAGGCTTCATTATTTAAAATAGAAATAGGAGTAAGAAAAAAAAGATAATGCAAAACATTTAGACACAAACTGGATGCGCACAATATGAGGAAAAAAAACCTGTAAGCACATCCATGTAATCCTGCTGGTTTACTCACCTTTTCCAATTAGCGAGAAAGCCCGGGATAATAATGTTTCCCCTTCTCGTTATTATTCAGCCCTGCTTGTTTTTTRGTTGCCTCGGCTGAAGGTTCCGGCGCGTCAAAGTTTTGGCGACGGTTCTGCTGTGCGCCCGGAGAGGAGAAGCGGCGGCGGCTTTGCGGACACTCGTGCACACGCGTCGATGGAGGGGGCGGTGGCGCGCAATCAGGCTATAGACCTGCCCAACGCACACAACCACACACAATTTCATAAAAATATATCATGGCAGAGCGGTGACAGGCTCTCCACAATCACCGTGACACAGAGGGGAAACTGTGTAACATAATTAAGAAGGACACCCCTAATTTGTGAATTGTAATAAGAAATAATAAAAAAAAAAAAGTTGCATTGCAGTTCAAAAAAATGACCCATTGGTGATTCAGCAGATCTGTAAAAAAAAAACACATTTTCTGGAGAGGTGAGAGGAAGAGACGTGAATCTGGAAGCTTTCAGCCCCAGTGTGTGTGTGTGTGTGTGTGTGTGTGTGTGTGNGACCCACAGACCCCTCCCTGACCCACAGACCCCTCCCTGACCCACAGACCCCTCCCTGACCCCCAGACCCCTCCCTGACCCACAGACCCCTCCCTGACACACAGACCCCTCCCTGATCCACAGACCCCTCCCTGACCCACAGACCCCTCCCTGACCCACAGACCCCTCCCCCACAAGAACAGCAGGACAGCAAAAGTCACGCTTTGGAAACACGCGTAGGGCGCATCCACCTCGCCAATGTGGATGTTCTAAAACTTCACGTTTAAAGTCCGTGTTTGTCACGCGCGCGGGGGCAGGGGGGGTGCGTGCGTGCGTGTGTGTGTGTGTGTGTGTGTGTGTGTGTGTGTGTGTGTGTGTGTGTGTGCGCGCGTGGCATTCATTGGAGGTTCATAAACACTTTTTACTGGACCAAGCACTGCACATTTAAGGTGCTTCTGCTTTACTGGACAGAAAACCATTCAGGAACAAAAAAGGGACATGATTAATGACTGAGGTTAAAGCACCCCAACCAGAGAGGACAACCAATAATTTCACCACCTGGGTCCATTTTAAAACAGAGAAAGCTAAACTTTTCTGCTCTCCCCTCTGATGCTTTACTTGATTAATTATCTCATTTAAACAGAGAAATCACTCCAGATTTGAAAAACTTCCCAAACTACTTAAAAAGCTTCGTTAAGCTTTTGTCTTCTTTTTTCCATAAGGAAGATCAAAACATTAATGCTTGGACAATGGACTGTGAGAAGAAATCAAAGTATTCACGCTGGCACAGGGAGAACATAAAACCTGCATTTAGAAAATCCCCAGCAGACAAGCAGGATGAGGACATCCTTGCTGGGAAGAGACAATAAAAATGCAAACATAATTGCCTCTGCCTCTTTATTAAAATGTTTGCCTATCTGCCAGCAGAAGCTGACAAAAGCAGCAGGATGAATTCTGAAGTGTTTTGGGCAATATTTTCTGCTCCTATTCAGCCAAATGCTTCAGAACTCATTGGATGGTGCTTCACAGTGCAGATGGACAATAAGCATACTGCGAAAGCAACCACAGAGTTTTGTAAGGCAACGGCCAAGTCAATCACCTGAACCTGACTGAGCTGCATTTCACTCGCTGAAGACAAAATTGAAAGAAAAAAGCCCCAAGATCTGAAGACAATTGCAAAAAAAAAAAAAAAAAAAAAAAAAGGATCTGGCAGAGCGTGACCAGGGATGAAACGCAGGATCTGCTGATGTCTGTGTTCCAGATTCATCCAAGGAATGCCACCAAATATTAAAAAGTGAAAGTTTGATTCATGATTGTAACTTTGTCCCATTKCTTTCTGTCCCTTAAAAATTGGGTGGCACATCTAAAACCTGTTGTAATTCGTACCTTTCACCTGATCTGGATTTAAACACATTCAAATTAAAGCTGAAAGTCTGCAGTTCATCTTGTTTGTTCCATGGTGACGTTTGCAGACAAAAAGATGAGAACTGTGTTGATGTCGAAATATGAAGATGATGTAGTTCATAGGAAATGCGGAGCAGATTATTTGTTAGGAATTTTATTGTTTTGCTTATGTATACATCCTTAGTACACATACTTAGTCATGAGTCCTGAAGTTACACCTTAGATAGCTTCAATTTTCCAAGATTCAAACACAAATGTTAACGTGATTGCACTTTTTGCAGTTGCTGCTTTTATTTTAGTGAATATATTATATGTCAGCAGGACTATTCATCTAAATTACTGCGGGGGCCACAGTTACTGCAGGCCAACAGCTCAGGGGCCAAACATCCAGCAATTAAAGCCYTTGTGTAAATAAACCAAATATTCTTTGAATTAGTTTATTTTGCTGCATTCATGTAATAGTGTTGTTAAAACTGTATCAAAAAACAAAATAACACATTATGCCTCCTATTTGATATAAATATTATTTTGACATCTTTGACTTGCCACATTTTTAAACCAATTTTATTTTTACTTATCTTAGTTTTATCTTCAACTGCTTTTAGTTTTAACTTGGGTGCTCATAGAACTTTTTTCACCAGCTTTTAGCCAATATTCTGATGTTTCTGATACCACACATATCTATGTCGAACTGAAATAACTTATAGTAATTAAAGTAGAAAACTGGGAGTTTTGGCTTCAGAGCTTAATGAACCGATTAGCGGGCCAGACTTTGGTCACTCACGGGCTGAATGTGATCCATGGGCCACCAGTTGAATAGCTCTGTTTTAAGTATAAATGAAACAAATCATGCCTGCACTTTTTTTTGGACCACTCAAGCTGGAGGGGCAGGTGGTGGAATGTGTTACAATTTATGTCCTTGACAACATTCAATATGTTGACAGGCTAAAAAAAATCATTGCATTGCACTGTGAAAAATGAGATAAAACTTTTTTCTTGTATATGGTGGCAAACTCACCACTCTAACCCAACTCATTTTACAACCAGACAGTAAAAAGAAAGTTGGACTCCATCAATGAGGACTCTTCATCTCCTTTATGACTTCTACTGCTCCCAGGAACCTGCCAGGGTGCCTTTTGGCCAAACAAAATGAAGTTTTAGAAGACCTTTATATTCAAACATCCACATCAAGTAATAGCATTGAAGAAAATATCACTATTCTTATAGTGCATCTGCTCCTGAAATGGTTTGTTTTGATGCAAACAGATAAAGCTTTTTTTTTTTTTAACCAAATTCCATCAGTGGGTAACAAAACATGATTTTTAGTCTTGAATTTGAACTCAGTGTTTATTCTTTCTCAAAGCAGAATCCTTTCATGATGGATTGTGCTGTTATGGTACAAACTCTAATGCCCCTCCAGGCTGACGTATTAAGCCCAGTTTTCTTTTCAGAAAAATCCCCTCCAGTGTGGCAGCCGGAAGAAACGACACTTCTTTGTCCTGCAAAGCTGGCACTGCTGGCCAGTGGAAAAATAAATGTCACTTCTAGAAAATGTTATCTTTACCTGGAAAATATTTCTCAAGTTTGAAAAGCTTGATGAAATAACTGAGAAAACTTCCCACAACAAAAAATAACTTTTTGTAGACTCCAAGAAATGAGAACTTTTTATCGTCTGTTACATTGCATGTGACCTGTTAGCATTTAGTTTGTGATAGGAATGACTCTGACCAGCTACGAAACCAGATTTGATCTCAAAGTCCATAAAATTTATTGAGTTACAAAAACAAAACAAAAAAGACAAATCCTGACATACAACTTATTTACAGTTAAGAGGAAGAAGACATCTTCAACATGATCATTACAAAAAAAAATCAATTCCACTGAGACTCAGGTGTGATGGGTCAGAAGTTGTTGAAGTTGAGCATATTTCAGAATGATGAAGCCGTTCCACATTCCCAGAGGATCCATCAGAGTGGACATGCTGGTATGAGCCATTATCACAATTTTGAACCATTTTACAGAGAAACCTGGACAGCGAATCTCCCACAGATCTGCTCCCACGTTGTTGAAAAAAAAAACTTTTGATAAGCAATGGAACAGAAAATAAAATAAAGTCTGCAGCATTCAACAAGTATGATGGAACAGAAAACAMTAAAAATTATTTCCTCTTTGCAAACACAGTTTTACTGAGAATTAAAGGCTTAAAGGCAGGACAAAACCTTTGCTTCAACAGCATTTAAGAGGCTAGTTCAGAGGAAAATAAACATAATATTTTACCTAATGTAAATAGTTTCTGAATGAATTTTGTTTGAGGAAAATACAGTTTATTTTTGACAGGTGTGTGAGCAAAACATCTTAAAACAACTCAAATCTCAGTGAGTGCTATTTCATGAACATTCAAGTCCTGAAACATTCCAGCACTTTCAGGACCTTGGACAGTTCCTTCAGTCCTTGAGACCGTCTAAGTGTTTCCTATCCAAGGGTACACAAGTATATTACAGTGGGTATGTGGAAAAATTTCAGAGATGTGTGAAAAAAAATAGGACTGAGATATGTAGGGCCCTATGATTTCCGCAATACAGAAATTACAGATGGAATCACAAAATTAACACAAAACGGAATCCAGTATAAAACATGGAATCTCACGGAATTTGATCATTTGGTGAGTTTCTGACGTATTTTGGACAATACAATGTATTTTGGATGCTGCTGTTTTCTGCACCTGCCATTACCTGGTTTATTTATTTAAGTACTTATTCACTTTCAAGGCAAATTTTTTTCTATATGTTTAATTTGAGTTGAAAAAAAGAAAATGTCTGAGAATTAAATGTTCTAGGGCAGGGTTTAAGTACTTATTCACTTTCAAGGCAAATTTTTTTCTATATGTTTAATTTGAGTTGAAAAAAAGAAAATGTCTGAGAATTAAATGTTCTAGGGGTTAAATAAATAATTTTCATTAAAAAATCAGTTGTAATACTTTAAAATACTACAACCACACTACAATATATTTATATGGCTCAGGGGGTACACAAGTCTAAAAAGGTTGTGAACCACTGACATTACTGTCTTTTTTTTGCACCTTTGAAGAAATATATCTACAGGAAGTGCACCAAGCAGCACATACAGTAAACTATCCTTTTATTGTTTAATATCATTCAGCAACAACTGAAAATATTGTAAAAGATCACATTTGTTCAAAAATAGAACCAAAATTCAAGACTGAACTCAAGTGTAAATAAGTTATATTCTTCTTTTGCTCTGAACAAAATCACATTTATTATGCAGCAGCAACACTGCCACTAAGAATAAAGAAAATARGTTTACTTTTGATGCCTTTGGCTGTATTTTGTGTAAAATAGAGCATTTCGGTCAAAATGTGACTCATTTTTAT